ATTTTATTTTAACTCTAACAGATCAGTTTGGCTAAACGTGTGAGGCCAAACCATGCAGTCCCTATACAAACAATACTGCCTTTAATGGCAATGTTCTTTCAGTCTTGAACTGCAGGACTTTGCCTGAATTGAACTTCAGTAATGAACCAAAGGTCAGTGAAGCTCAAAGATGGGGAGCTGCACTCTGAAGCTACTCTCATAGAATTGATTGTTTGTGTTTAATGCTGACTTGTTTAACACACTACCATGTGTATTGCATAATTAGCTATATTTTATGGGTTTATCCCTTCCTCTGAACCATCAAGCCTTGACTGGAGACAGAATAGCAGACTAGATGGACCCTTTATCCATCCTGACATGGCAGTGAGTATTTTTTTATGTTTAGGATACACCAACTGATTATTAAAATGGAATATTTGATTTCTCCCTGGAATGTGCTGCTAGGTGAATTCTGTCATATTTTACATGGCTAATCAGCTGAACTTGAACTCCCAGTGTGACACTGTGGCCAAGAGAGCTAATGCAATCCTGAGATGCATAAACAGGGGAATCTCTAGTAGAAGTAGAGAAGTTATTTTACCTCTAATTTTGGCACTGATGTGACCACTGCTAGGATACTGTGTCAATTTCTGGTACCCTCAAAACAAGAAGGATGTTGTTAAATTGGAGAAGATTTAGAGAAGAGCCACAAGAATGATTAAAGGATTGGAAAACCTGCCGTATAGAGAGAAACTCAAAGAGCTCAATCTATTTAACAAAGAGAAGGTTAAGGGGTGACTTGAGTCCAGTCTATGAGAACCTACATGGGGAACAAATATATAATAATGGGGTCTTCAGTCTAGCAGAGGAAGGTATAACATGATCCAGTGGCTGGAAGTTGAAACTAGACAAACTCAGACTGGAAATAAAGTGTAAATTTTTAACAGTAGTTAACCATTGGAATAATTTACCAGGGTTTGTGATGGATTCTCCATCACTGACCATTTCTTAATTGTCACGATTGGATTTTTTTTCTAAAAGCTCTGCTCTGGGAATTATTTTGGGGAAGTTGTCTGGCCTGTGTTATACAGGAGGTCAGATTAGACGATCACAGTGGTCCCTTCTGGCCTTGGAATCTATGAATGTATGTACTAAACCTATTCTCAGGAGTCTGTAGTAAGGCCCTCCTATACTATCTCCCGTTATGCAGAATTCTCTCTGGGTTTCCATGGAAAGTTTTACATTGGCCTCAAAATTCTTCTCTGCCTTTTACCTATGACTAAGTGTAGTGTCAGTTCGCCATCAGATACGCCCTCAAGGTGGGGACTGAATCCCACTTCACCTGCTCTTTTATGTTCTAACCCAGGGGTTGGCAACCTTTCAGAAGGGGTGTGCCGAGTCTTCATTTATTCCCTCTAATTTAAGGTTTCAGGTGCTAGTGATACATTTTAACGTTTTTAGACGGTCTCTTTCTATAAGTCTTTAATATAAAACTAAACTATTGTTGTATGTAAAGTAAATAAGGTTTTTAAAATGTTTAAGAAGCATCATTTAAAATTAAATTAAAATGCAGAGCCCCCCGGACCGGTGGCCCGGACCTGGCCAGTGTGAGTCCTACTGAAAATCAGCTAGCATGCCACCTTTGGCACACATGCCAGAGGTTGCCTACCCCGTCCTAACCAGTCAATCCTACTCCATCCTATAATGAAAAGAATCACATACATCAATCTTTTCATTATTTTAGCAAGACCTACCTGAAATATGGTTCCTGTCCCTGAGTAGGATAGCAGTCCTGTTCCAGAGTGAGTCCCTTACTTACAGTATAAGGTCTTTGGGTCAGTGACTATCATTTTACTATTTGTGTACAGTGCCTACCACCATGGGGCCCTGATTCCTGACTGGGGCTCCTGAGTGCTATTAGCCGCTGGGATTTTCTTCTTGTCTGTTAGGGTACGTTTCTCCTGTTGCTATTTTAAATCTAAGCCTAAATATAGTACTGAGGATGCCACTGCCTCAGTCTGAGTTGTAGCATGCTTGGCACACCCTCCCTCCCTTGGGAACACTGTGAAAAACAACTCTCATCAGGTTAACTCCCCTCATTTCCCGTGGCAGGGCCAAGAAGTAGATGCACTCTCTCAGAGACACGAGCCTGGCACTCGTACCCATGTCAGAATGTGATGAAGATCTGAGATTCTCTCTCTCCTCACCCAGCTTTCTGGCTCATTTTTTGTTTGGCTAAATAGCTGTAGGGTCTGTGAAACTATCCCTGGCTGGAGTGACCTGCCCCTGAAGCCTGTCTTGTAGTGGGTTCCTTGTAACATTTGCATCATTCTTATTTGCAATGAATTTCTCTCCCTTCTTTACATGCTCTTCCAATCATTTCATTGTCTCATGACAAAATCCTTCCAGTTTTTCTCAATACTGACTGTATGTTGTGCAAGATTATGAAGGATTTCACATGAGGCATGAATCGTGGAGGTTTGAAATGCTCCCAAACCTTTGCCAGAGACATCTCAACATGGTCTTGTGAATCTACCTCATCGTGTGTTTTGCTTGTGTAGCTGGCAACTCCTCAGCATTCCAATATTTCTCCCATGCGTGCGCATACAAACAAAATTTTATTTCATAACATAACCCTGTACTCAGACTTCAGAATTTCCAGGATCAACAGCTAGCAATTTTAATCTAATGAATTAAGAGACAAGGGTCACTTTTCTTTCTTAAAGGGTCTGTTACCTAATCTGGATTGTAAAATATTTCCTGTATATTTAGCTTGACAACAGCATGGATTAAGCCCATTTCTGTAATCAATCCCGTAAAGTAATTTAGGGCCCAATTCTCCCATGGGCTGAGCATTCTGGGCCCAATCCAGCAAAGCACTAAGGGTCCAGTTCAGGAAAATATTCCCATTTAGAACAACAGTAAGCATTTGTTGAACTTTAAGCATGTACATAAGCATGACTTCAATGGGACTTACGTACATGCTTAAAATTAAGCACAAGTTTAAGTGTTTTGCTGGGTCAGAGCTAGAATGCTCAGCAGCTGATAAAGAACTTAATATCATCTCTGTTAGGTTCTGAAAAAATGAATAATGATGAAATAATTTATCTTCCACATTTTAGAGTTCAGTCACTACTGGATAGAAACTAATGCAACAATCAATGTATTTTTAACAAGAATCTAAAAACACATAGAATGTGAAGTAGGTATTGAACCAGTTTGTGGAAAACAGAAATAGGTTTCCAGAGAGGAATAAAAAAGCATGAAGAACAGGAGAGGAAAAGCCTTCAACGATGTTTAAGGCTTGCTTCAAATATCACATAAGCAAAGTCAAAGGTGGCATATTTATCTCATATCATGTGATTACTAGGAAATATACAAACTTTTAAATGAGAATATTTGATGATTCTCTATATGTTCCATTTTGCCTCAAAGAGATGCAACATCTCTAGTCAACAAGGACTTGATTCAAAGCCTATGGGAATGTTTCTATTGACTTCACTGGGCTTTGGATCAGGCCCTGAAAGAGTTTGTGCCTGCAATAATGTGAATATATTTGAAATTTCCATTTCTTTTTCCTATAGCACACAAGTGGTCTTTTTGAAATGCTGAATCTTTCCTCCCAAACCTATTAATTTAGGCCAGTGTACAATCCAGTCCTGCTTTGAGCTCTGCACAGCTGGACTCCTGTATTCCCAGGGGCTTAATGTAGGACCAGGACCATCATGTCCAGTTGCTGCTCCATTCTTGTTTAGAGTTGCAAACAGAAACTAGATTAACATTTGAGCCTTTGATATGTCCCAGTTTGATTGGTTGGTCTCTGAATTTCTTCCATATGAATTATAAGGCTGTTCAGCTTTTTTGGCAAGGAAAAAACTGTCTGCTTGTGAAAAGAACTATTAAAAATCCCTTTTCTCCCCTTTAGAGAATGTAATAAACTTTTCCAAAACTAAATAATTAACAGAGGATACCAGAGAGAGCTCTGCCTTTTCCTCAAGGTGGCATGGGGCTACTCAGGGGTGGTCAATCTCTAGGCCAGTCCTGGTACAGTGATCCTATTGTGGAAGGGAATGGTTTAGGGATATAAACTGGCCATCAATAAACTTAGACTTGAAATTAGACAAAGGTTTATAACCATCAGAGGAGTGAAGTTCTGGCTTCAAGACTGATCTTGATAAATTCATGGAGAGTATGTATGGTATGATGGGACTGCCTACAATGGCATGTAGCCGATCTGCAACTTGCTAGTAACAAACATTTCCAATGGCCAGTGATGGGACACTTGTTTGGGAGTGCTCTGAGTTACTACAGAGAATTCTTTCCCAGGTTTGTCAGGCTGCTGGGTCTTGCCCACATGATCAGGGTCTAACTGACCGCCGTACTTGGGGTCAGGAAAGAATTTTCCCCTGGGTCAGATTGGCAGAGGCCCTGGCGGGTTTCGCCTTCCTCTGCAGCATGGGGCACGGGTCACTTGCAGGTTTAAAAGAGTGTAAATGGTGGATTCTCTGTAACATTAAATCTTTAAACCATGATTTGAAGACGTCAGTAACTCAGCCAGAGGTTAGGGGGTCTATTACAGGACTGGGTAAGCGAGGTTCTGTGGCCTGCAATGTGCAGGCAGTCAGACTAGATGATCATGATGGTCCCTTCTGGCCTTAAAGTCTATGAGTCTGCCACCCTTTCCTGAAGGCTAGGGGACAGTGTGTATGTGTGTGGGATGGGGGGGGCTTAAACCTCCCTCCTCTGCTGCCCCGGATCTGAGTGTCAAAAGGACAGTCAGTACCAACAGGACAGCCCAAGGATCAGAAGCCTTCAAACAGAAAAGGGGAAGAAGCAATCAAACCCAACCCCTTGTAAAAACAAACAAAAGAAACATTGCAAAAATCATACATATTTCTTCTCAGAAAGGGACTCTCATGTTGCATGTGACTGAAATATCAGAGTCCTGTCAGTCTGCAGCTCTTAGAACAGACGCCATATTGTGCTTTTTAGCTACAAATTAATACTCCTTTTCCCCCCAGACAATAAAGTTTCTAGTGAAAATAACCACAGTTCACCAGCCACTACCTCACCTTCAGCGATGAATGCTACTATCACCAGTCTAACACCAGCAACAACAACTGTCGCTCTCACAGAAACAATGATCTCCTTGGAGCCTACAAATATTTCACCAGCACCAGAAGGTATGGGAAATTGATTTGGACTTGCTAATTATTCTCCATGCTCTCTGCAATTTCCATTTGCTGATGTGCTTTAGTGACTGAATTTACAAGATGTGAAAGTGAAACTTTAAGCAGGCACCCAAAGGATGATTTAGAACAGGTTGTCTCATCGAAATGGGCTTTTAACTCATGGTCAAACCAAAATGATATTTTAGAAATGAGTCCAGTACGGAACCACGGATGTGAACCCCAACTTGTCCCCTGGGTCCTGAAATACTTCTGTATTCCAGACTCTGCTTCTACCTCTGTTCTTTAGAGAAGTGTGGATTCAGATCCAAAACTTGCAGCTTGAACCCATCTTTGCTTTAAAGTGATTGCTTAGGAGAAGCAGTCTGATCACTAGATCTGGGATGGCAGGCAGGCTAAACTATAATGATCAGATGCCCTGGTTATCTCACATGTCTCTGCACTCCCTTTCTGAGTTCTGCATATAGCATCTTTAAATGTAAGATGTCTGCCTTTCTGCTATAAGCCTGAGCTTGAGGGGATTCAAGCTGAAGGATCTTAAAAAGAGACACATACTTTTTTTTTTTTTAATCAACAGATCTATTTGTTTGAGGGCTCTGAGTCCAGTGAGAAGGCAGGGTTGGCACTGGGGAGGTCAGTGTTGGGGCGTGAGCCAAGCAATAGCAGCTTTACACACTTGTAGAATACACACAGAATATTAGCCTATTGTAAGCAGCTTATAAGTGCATGTAACAGTTAGGTAACTACAAAGCAAATCTAATGTCTGTGTTTTCTACAGCCGATAATACATTCTAGTACCACTGGCTACGGCAAACCAATATTGCAGTTCCGTCACTACAATGACAAACTTTGATTCGAGAGGCCTTAAGCATGCTCCTATTTTTTTCTATGCAGGAAAAGAAAGTACTGCTGAAACGACCAAAATGACTGAAGACACCAGCCCTGCGACTTCCACAGGACCCACCCAAACACACATGCATGTGTCAGACCAGTCAGTGTCAGTGAACACATCTCCCGATTCGCAGCCGAACATATCACAGGCTCCTTTCAGTACGACAGCACGAGCCACGACTTTGGAAATGGTTTCGACAGCCACTACTGTCCTCACAAAGCAAACTTCCCACTCAGCTGCCACAGGACCCCCGCCTATTAGCACCATGGAGGTAGGAGGAAGTGCTTGACTATGCATTTGATGAATCACGGTGAGCATGTTGTTCCTGAAGACTTTATTCAGAAGCTGTGGTTTGTTCATACCATGCTGTGTTAAACCAGATCCAGTGCTGCGCACGTATGGGACACGGGACAGCCTTGTAGCTGGAGCACAGGACTGGGAGTTAGGAGACTTCGATTCTGTTCCCGGCCCTCCCAAAAACTCCCTTTGTGACACTGGGCAGGTCACTTCCCCCTCTCTGTGAAATGGGGATAATGAGACTGCCCTATCCCTTGGGTGCTGTGAGGCTATATTCATTTATGGTTCTGAGACCCCCTGAAGGCATTAGAGAATTGCCAGGAGTTACCGGTTGGCACTGTCTTTCATGGAACCCCTTGCCAGAATGCCTGGATATGGCAGATCATTTGAAAAAAGCACACTTCTCGGATTGACGAGCGTGTTGTAAGGGATTCCGCAACTGATACAAACACATTTCTAGCGGAACGGCTTGTAGGGCACTGCATATCCTAGATTTCTTTGGGCTGCAAGGAACCTCTAGTGGGCTGCCTCTGATATTGCTGCAGAATTGTTCTCACTCTCCTCAAACCATCCCGGATAGATGGATTTCTAGCTTAGTCTGGAGTATCTCCAGCCATGGTGATCTCATGTCCTTTGGCTACATCTTCCCTGCTGCAGTTCAGTCTGTTCCCGCTTGCTCTGTCCTGCCTTCCTGATACAGTGAGGTTTGCCATTAAAACAGATTTTCAGAAGGCATGTCTATTACCACAGTGACGCTTTTCAACTTGAGACAAGCAGGCTACATGGGATAGGTTCAATGGGACTATTTTGGCAATAGATGTTATAGGGCTAGAATTGCCAGAGAGGTGGAATTGGAACCTTTCTTTGCAGAGTTTTTAAGGACTAGCAACCAGCTGGGGAGCAGAGCAAGCAACCTCACCCTAAGGATGTGAATCATAATGGGCTGAATCTAAGTAAAGGCTGCAGATGGCAGAGCTAGTACAGTTAGGCTGTACCTAGGGGCCAGGATGCAGGAAACCTGGATACATGCAGGCCATATAGAGAACAGCTCTGTAGAGACTGCCTGCCCACTCCATCTTCTGCAGTGTAATTACAGGATGTGGCCTGGAAAACTCCTTGATAAAACAGGGTTTGGGAATCAGTGGAGCTTGAGGATCATAATCCCAACCATTCTGAATACAGAAATAGAAAGACACCTGTTATCTAGGAGCTTCAAAGACTTGCCTAAGGGATGCAGCCATGTGTCCTGACCTGTCTCTCTGTACCTACGCAATTTACAAATGCAGCTGTATTTTTTTTTACTTTCTAGCCCTACACCATCGCTTGCCAGAATATTAAACATGTGAAGAAGCCCAGAGTGATCTGCTTGCATCTCCATGAGCCCGACACATGTGTAAGTAGCAACTATGCAGGTGGGCAGAGTGGCCCCTTGTTTTAAAGCCGCATGGGAACAGTGTGAGGTTTTTGGGGCAGGTTCTTACTATCATGTCAAGGGGCCAGCAAGGCCCCTTGCAGCCACAAGGGGCCAGCAAAGCTGATGGTGCCTGGCATGTTAGTGTTGTATTTACGGCGTGTGCTCCGTTCCCAGGGCACGGGGAGTGCAAACTGCTTGCTGCTGACTGAGCACAGAGTACACAACAACAAGAGTCACCAGGAGGAATTCAATCATGTCCTTCTCCATCATGGTGCAGCCTGGGGCCACCTCAACTTCTTTTGTCTCCTCCTGTTTAACAGGAAATCACTATTCACAAACACACACACCTACTCCAGTCCTGCACACATTATCTCCTCTGCCTTACCATCCTCCTCTTCCCTTACTGCCAGCTGGCATGGAGAGGAAATTGGGTCAGACAAGGGGGACACGGTGGAACCTGGGCCTCACTGCCCCAGTTCAATGGCTTTGAAGGGTAACCCAGGTCTGTATGAACTTGTCCAGTTGGAAACTGTTAGTGCAATTATTTTTTTGTAAAACTAAGATGAGATGAATGGGGAAGGATCAGCTAAGGTGAAGTTGCAGGGGAATAAACTCACTGTGCAGCAGGTGAAGACCTGAGACAAATGCTAGATGGTAAAGAATCTTGTGGGACTGCTAACTGGTGTGAAATTACAGTGATTAACTTTACCTCCATTAGCCAGCCACACTGAGATCACTGGGGGGGAGCTAGATTCTTATTCTATTGACTTTTCCTTGTAAATTACCTATTAACTGGCATTTCTCCTGTTAATATTCATGCTGAAAGTATTTTAGCAACAATTCATGTTGAAAGGTATGGGAGTGAGTGACCACAAACACAGATGCCATCTAGTGGGCAAAAAGAAAAGGAGTACTTGTGGCACCTTGGAGACTAACCAATTTATTTGAGCCTAAGCTTTCGTGAGCAACAGCTCACTTCATCGGATGCAGTAAACAGACAGCATTGTCAGATGTGAGGTTTTGTATATTTCTATATTCTGGTGGAGATCCACTGTCCAAGAAATTGGGTGTATTTAGTTAAAAGTAAGTTAGTAAATGAGTCCTGTTAATTGTGCTCACCCTTGGGAATGACTGAAATGCTGGAAAATCTAAAAAAATTAAAATTAAATAATAAAAATAAATTTTAGAGCATGGTATTGAAGTTAAGGCACTGGACTGGGACTCAGGGTTCAGTTCCTGCATCTGCTACAGACTTCCCATGTGACCTTGGGCAAATCACTGAGTATGTTTGACACAGGTCCTCTGCCCTTGGATTCCAGCTACTCCTGCAAGTCGCATGTGACTGCTCGTACACTTGGAATCCCCAAATATGAAATGCTTTAAACCACCCCAGTTTTAACAATGGCTTTTCCAGATACCCTTATCCCATGGTGCCTCTCTCCTCATGCCTCCACCTTAACTAATCATTGCATGGAAAAAACAATTTGATCTCCAAGCTTGGTTAACTGCTGAACCTGGAAACCAGATAACTGTCTGAGAGGAGAGTAGATAGAGGAGGCTGAGTCATTTCTCCTTTTTCCTGCTGGCCTTTCCCAAGGCATGCATGCAATAATCTGGTGTCTGTCTCTGTTAAATGCAAAGGAAACTCTAACACTCTCAAGCATTCTTTCCACAGCAGACAAAAGTAAATACACACAGGTCTTTCCTCCCATCTCAGTCCCCCAACCCCAAAACAAACTACTGTATATGGAAATAGTACTAACTGGTTGTTTTAAACCTTCTGTTTTCACAACAAGCCAGTATAAATGGTTTTACTGGTGTGACTGGGAGGTTTTCTATTGTTTGGTGCTTAGCTAGGCCAATGTTTTCTAAAAGTGACTAGTGCGACAGTTCCAAAACTGTGGGTTTCTCCATCAGTAAATGTGGTTGTGGCAATTCAAAGTGTGCATTTTACAAAATGGTGTCCTCCACACAGCATGACATCACATGTACCGTATGCGCAAGTTCACACTGCGTGGAGGACACTATTTTGCTCTACAAAATGGAGCTTTCCATGCAGCGTGACCCTGCACATGTATGTGCATGCTAGTGGCAGATTAGCCACTGGGCCAGTGGAGCCTGTGCCCAGGAGCCCTGGCCATCTGGGGGGCCCCAGAAAAATGGGTGCCCTTGTGCCTGGACCCACTCCACCTGCCCGGCACTCCTGCCAGGGAGCGGGGTTGGGGTTCAGGGGTTTGCCCCGCTTGGCCTGCCTGTGCTCCTGCCAGGGAGCGGAGTTGCCGGGCGGGCAGAGGGGGGCAAACCCCTACACCCCAACCCTGCTTCCTGGCAGGAGTGCTGCAGGGGTGGAGAGCAAGACCCCATGCCTTAACCCCATTTCCCTGGCAGGAGTCACGGGGGTAGGGGGGTTAGGGAGACTGCATGTGGAAGGAGGGGCCCACTTGCTCTGGCCCAGGACCCCACAACACCATAATCCACCTCTGGTGCATGCAAGGTCATGCTGCATGGAAGACATTGTTTTTAAATGGCATCTTCCATGCTGTTTGGGGTTGCGCGAAGCAATATAGGTAAAAATGGGGCCATGCACAGAAAATGTTTCAGAACCACTAGCCTAGTGATTTTTGGGCATCTCCATTTTTTGAGTACCCAGTGTGACACATATCAGAGGGGCCTGATTTTAGAAAGTGCTAAGCAGCCACTCTGAGCTGTCCAGCCCCCTCCCAGATAGAATATTTTAAGAAATGGTGACCCAGTTTTAGTAAAGTCCAGCCCTGATCCCAATCCAGAGTATGTGTGTACACAGGTTTCAGGAGAAGGTCCATCCTGTTTGGTGTTCAAGTTGGCCAAGAGGAGGAAAAAGCTGCAATCCATTTTTCCCTTCCGCCACCCAAGAGTCACTATTGTTTTTAAGTAGAAGTGTCGTTTTAATGCTAAAAGTGAGAAGATTTTATTCTTTGCTCCGTCTTTGATCAACAACCCATCAGAAATACTAAACACATTTCCTAAACAGGAAGGCCAGTCTTTCTTTGTTATTTCCCTCTTCTCCTAGTTGATGACAATGGGGCAGATAGTGCCTGCAATTTCAGAACAATAAAGCCTCCCTTGGCTTCTTTCTCATTCTGAGATTTAAAGGGACACACCTAAGCACCTTAGACCCCAAATTTAGGCTTGGTAAAAATAAATTTTAAAATTTCGTTAATATTTAAAATTTATTTTACAAGCATAAAATTGTTCTGTGAGGTGAGTAAGTATCAAAATTCCCATTTGGCAGATGGGAAAACAGGCACAGAGAAGTGAAATTTCTCATTCAAGGTCACATTAGTTGGTGGAAGAGGAAGAATTGGTGTTTGTGGTCCCTGGCTCCCAGTCCATTGCTCAGTCTGTTGGATCAGACTGCTTCCCAGTTTGAGTTGATGTTAGACTGGTGTTGGCTATATGTTTGTACAATGCCTAGCACAATGGGGTCCAGATCTGGTAAGAAGGCTGCAGGCACTATTGCAATGTAAGTGATAACAATAACACAAGCTAGTGATATGTTTTAGATGTCATTGTGGGAGACCATTTGTGGATTTGTCCAGTTTCTTTTAATAACTCTTTCTTTCTGGGAATTTTGCAGAATAATTTTGTAAAGACAAAGGGAGCAAATTTAGGTATGGTGATTTGTGACACAGCAGCACACGACAATCTCTTCTCTTCTCCGCCATGCCACATTGAATTCGCCAAATCTGAGGTGGATCCCTTCTGCATGCTGCTCATTCAGGCTGGCAGTAAAGGTTAGTGGAACCAATGTCTCTGGATTTTGTTGTGACCACTGTGTCTGTGTATGGGGGATAGGAAGGAAAGTGGGGGCTTCTGTGGGAAAGAGGGAAGTTAACAGTTGGTGGACCGTGAGGATGTATGACTTGTTTGTGGAGGCAGAGCTGGGGGTTATATGAACATGTGCTCGAAAAACTAACACTAAAGCACAGACTAGAAAGCAGAATTCTCAGAGAACATATCAGCTCTGTAACTGTTCTTCTCCTTTCTCTATTAAGTGAGTTTAACTAAAGATTTATTTGGCTTATATTGAGTCACAGCATTTCCTGCAGAATGAATGGGGAGTTCACAGCTTCTCCTTTGTCTCTTCAACACTGATATAAACTGGAAGTATTGACTTGTTGGCATTCATGTCACAACCTTTCTGTTTTGAAAACTGCAGATGCAGATGCAATAGAAAAGCTCCTCCAACATCCAACGTCTGATCTAACTAAGGTAAATGCTTTAAGCTACTTAAGCATGGGAGACTGGATGGCTTCGTGGGCGAGGATAAAGTAGTCTTTCACTGATAGTTCAAATCCAGTCCAGGTTGGTGATAACTGAAAAGTATTCAGAGGAACAGCCGTGTTAGTCTGTATTCGCAAAAAGAAAAGGAGTACTTGTGGCACCTTAGAGACTAACCAATTTATTTGAGCATGAGCTTTCATGAGCTACAGCTCACTTCATCAGATGTATACCGTGGAAACTGCAGCAGACTTTATATACACACAGAGAATATGAAACAATACCTCCTCCCACCCCACTGTCCTGCTGGTAATAGCTTATCTAAAGTGATCAACAGGTGGGCCATTTCCAGCACAAATCCAGGTTTTCTCACCCTCCACCACCCCACACAAATTCACTTTGGATGGGCTAGCACCAGCAGGAGAGTGAATTTGTGTGGGGGGGGTGGAGGGTGAGAAAACCTGGATTTGTGCTGGAAATGGCCCACCTGTTGATCACTTTAGATAAGCTATTACCAGCAGGACAGTGGGGTGGGAGGAGGTATTGTTTCATATTCTCTGTGTGTATATAAAGTCTGCTGCAGTTTCCACGGTATACATCTGATGAAGTGAGCTGTAGCTCACGAAAGCTCATGCTCAAATAAATTGGTTAGTCTCTAAGGTGCCACAAGTACTCCTTTTCTTTTTTGAAAAGTATTACTATCTCAGGGGCATTTGGTGACCAACTATAAATAAGATGATTTCAGTCCAGCTATCAACACTATGCCACTTTAATGGGCATCCTGGCTGGCAGTCAGAGGAGACAGACACCAATGGGCTGTAGAGATCAACCCCTTTGTTCCCTAGAGGTGGTCAGAGGTCAGTCAATGTGTGGAGGAGGCTTGCTAGGCTGTATCTGTTTTGGGGAGAAACAGGGGATCTTTCACTGTCTGTACTAATCAGATTGTTTTTGTGCTCTAAACAGATTCTGATCTAAGCACTGATTCATGTTCCTGTTACATGAGGAATAATATACCTCCCAATGGTACCTTGTAGGTCAGGGGTGGGCAAACATTTTGGCCCGAGGGCCACATCGGAGTTGTGAAACTGTATGGAGGGCCGGATAGGGAAGGCTGTGCCTCCCCGAACAGCCTGGCCCCTGCACTCTATCCGCCCCCTCCCACTTCCTGCCCCCCTCAGAATCCCTGATCCATCCAAACCCCCCTGCTCCTTGTCCCCTGACTGCCCCCCGGGACTCCCACTCCTATCAAACTGCCCCCTGCTCCCCATCCCCTGACCGCCCCCCCACCCCCGAACCTCCGCCCCATCCAACCGCTCCCTGTCCCCTGACTGCCCCCCGGGACCTCCTGCCCCTTATCCAACTGCTCCCTGTCCCCTTACCATGCCGCTCAGAGCGGCAGGACTGGCTTATTGGAAAGCCTGGGAGGTGGGCGGGCGCAAGCTGCACTACCCATGCGGCGGTGTCACTGCGGGGAAGGGGGGACAGCGGGGGAGGGGCTGGGGGCTAGTCTCCCCAGCTGGGAGCTCAAGGGCTGGGCAGGACGGTCCCATGGGCTGGGTGTGGCCTGCGGGCCGTAGATTGCCCACCTCTGTTGTAGGTCCTCTGATGCTAACAAGGCGGCACTTTAAAGAATGCTGCCATATTCTATTGCAACACACAGGTTGGTACAAAAGGGGCTCAAAATGTTGAATGAACCAATCATCTAGGGTTGCCACCTCTGACATACATAAAACAGGACATTTCTGGGATGATCCCGACCCCATAAAACTGGACAGCTGGCAATGCATACTGAGCACCCTTACTGATTTCCTGGGAAAACCAGAACAGAATGCAGCCCTACACTCATCCTGTCGAAATCTTCTGACAGGGAATTCCTGAGGCTTTGCAGACCTACACAGAAGCCTCATCTGTTTAGGGATCCTGGAACCAGAATCACTTCAGCACTTTTCCCTCTGGGAAGACCATGAACTTTCTGAAGTCACTATCAAGTGTTTTCTAAGCCCAGCAGCAGAATCTCTTATTACTTTATTTACTTCAAAATATGTATGAAGTACCCATTGCCAGTGTATCCCTTTAAAAAAAAAAAGGGGGGGGGAGGGGGAGCTAAATATTCAAAAGTAATTAGTGATTTTTGGGTGTCTGACCTGAGACTATTTAGAGGAGCCTGATTTTTAGAAACAGCTGTGCACCCACCCTCTGAAAATCAAGGCCTTGTAATGTGTCTCAAGTTGGGCACCCAAAATCACCTGTCACTTCTGAAAATTCAGAGTGTGTGTGTATGCACACACTCACTATAGCATTCTACAACCATTACCACAGAGTCCGCTGGTATCACTACTGTATGCTGCAGTGCTTCGGATGATTACAGTAATGGACTGTAGTATTTTTTTTAAAAGGATATGGGTCCCAATAATAACTCTTCAAAGTGCCATACTGACATTAATTAATCTTCTCTATACACCACTGAGGTCGCATTACCTTGTAAAGTTGAACTCCAGGTGCCTGTAAAAAAAATGGCACCCAGCAGCTAAACATGAACTAAGTTATTGCATCTGTGCTCTACGTCTCAAGGACATAACGTTCTCATGTGGGCGAAAACTCTTTTTAGGGGAGTTAAACGCAGGGTACTGAGGAGGATGCTTAGAATGCAAGTGAGCTGTGCGGTCCTTCAATCCTGGGTGTGTAGGCTCTACAGAGTGCACAACCCAGGGCCCCGGAGATGGAGAGAATAAAAATTATACAAAACTGTGCTTCTGCATTGCTTCTCATCCAGAACATAAGAACGTAACATAAGAACGGCCATATTGGGTCAGACCAAAGGTCCATCAAGCCCAGTATCCTGTCCTCTGACAGTGGCCAATGGCAGGTGCCCCAAAGGGAATGAACAGAACAGGTAATCATCAAGTGATCCATGCCCTGTCACCCAATCTCAGCTTCTGGCAAACAGTGGCTAGGAACACCATTCCTGCCCATCCTGGCTAATAGCCATTGATGGACCTATCTTCTATGAATCTATCTAGCTCCCTTTTGGACCCCGTTATAGTACTGGCCTTCACAACACCCTCTGGCAAAGAGTTCCAGAGGTTGACAGTGCGTTGCGTGAAAAAATACTTTCTTGTGTTTGTTTTAAACCTGCTACCTATTAATTTCATTTGGTGGCCCCATGTTCTTGTATTATGAGAAGGAGTAAATAACACTTCCTTATTTACTTTCTCTATTCCACTCATGATTTTATAGACCTCTATCATATCCCCCCTTAGTCGTCTCTTTTCCAAGCTGAAAAGTCCCTGTCTTATTAATCTCTCCTCATATGGAAACCGTTCTATACCCCAATCATTTTTGTTGCCCTTTCTGAACCTTTTCCAATTCCAATAAAGGTTGTCAGTCTCAGCAGAGGGGCCAAGGACTGAATGCCCTGGGGATTTCTTTCCCCTAGAGTTGGTGCCTGCAGGTCAGGGGTAAGGCACAGTGTTGGGGCAGTGTGGGGAAAGCTTGCACTGCTTTGGCCTGTGCTGTAGCTGATCTGGAGAAGGAGAATCTTGGGCTTGTGAGGCTTTCAACCTGGCTCTAAAGCTCTGATTCAACTCCCACTGAAGCGAATGAGTTTCCATTGGTTTCCTTGGGAGATGGGTCAAGCCCTGTGTGTGTGTGTGTTTGTATAAATAAAGAACTGGGGTGGAAGACAAAGTTGTGTCTTTAAAATATGGAATGCTCTCAGCAGATGTTGTGCATGCACAAATTTCCTGTTTATGAGACTCTTGGCTCTGTTTGGTATATTTCCAGCTTGGAATAAAATCCCATACACTGGAGAGTCCTGGACTTCACCAGAACAGTCCCCGGAAGACACTGATTGCCTTGGTCACATCTGGACTCTTGCTGGCGTTTCTGAGTTTGGCTGGATACTTCCTTATGAAACGACGGAGTTGGAGCCCCAGGGGAGAGAGGCTGGTTAGTGCTTATAGCTGGCAAAACAAGAAGTAGAGAGAAACCAAAATACAGGAGGAATGCGGAGGAGGGAATGCAACAGAGTCACAAGCTCTCTAAGGGAGTGACCCACTGCCAAAGACCTCTAAGCGCCACTAACAGTCTCTGTTCGGGGGGCGAGAGAGGCTCAGCTTATGTTCTGTACAAGTTGCCTACAGCTTATGAATGTATGAATAGGTGTGACAAGACGGCTTGTTGCTCTGAGTGCCACTTACAGGCAGGCCGACAGGGAAACAGAAAACGTGGTGAGCCTGTGACTGAACCAGCCTGAGTGTGGTGAATGGGGAGATGGAGATAAGAGAGGCATAAACAGCTGTGCTAGACCCCAAAGCATGAAGAGTGAAAGGAAATCTCTCTTCCTCTCTAATATTAAATATTCTCTGACCGTTCATTTGGGGATCACTATCCTTTGCTCCCTGTCACTTCTAGGTCTAACACTTTCTTTTGCCTGGCAGTAAGAACTCACCTGGGAAGACTCCTCCAGAGACTCTGAAAGCATGTGAATTTGCCACTGAAAATGAAATACTTTTCTGCAATCATTACATTTAATAATCAAAGTATACATCTAACTTGTATCTATGCTGTAATAAAGGTTGTTTCCCCCGCTTAACCAATGGGGATAATAAAGAACATCAAGAAAGAAAGAAAATATTTTCCTATATATATTTTTCCTCTTACAGATTTTGCTGAGTTCCGGGGGTTCCTTCTTTATCACTGATTTATGGAGACTTGAATATTTCTATGAAGTGCAGTCAGAGCATGTTCATCTAGTTGCACATGTGCAGTTATACAATGGGAGGCTAATAAAGTTCAGTATTCTGGGACGGATCCTCCCAAATGCATGAATGCAAATGACAGTGCATGTGTAGTAGATGATATGATCAGGGGCTTGGTAACAGGATACAGAGCTTGTCACCTCTAGGGCACTGGATCTAACCTCCTGGCCCACGTTGGCAGTGACTGAAAGTCACTGGTATCTAATGGCGATTTGATGTTCCCTATGTTAAATAAGCCTGGGGGTCTTAATCCAGTTTCCAGTGGACAGGTGTCTCCATCACAAACACCACCATCACCACAGTTGATGGTTCAGCAAAGAAGCCAAAAAGTAAATTGGGCCATAGATCCAGAACTCCACTTATGTGTAAGAGATGTCCATTCCAGGGCAGGACTGAGGCATATTGGGAGGGGACTCTGTGTTTGTCCTCCTGCTGCCTATGCTGTACATGGCTTTGTGGACAAATAGAGGGCCTCAGACTCTGTCAGCCTGCATCTCCTTCCTGATACACTCTATTGGCAAGTGTACTTCACATACAGCCTCATGTCCCTAGCTCTTGCTGGCCTTACTGTCAGATCTGCTGCATTTAGGGCCTTCAGAGCTGTCACAGCAGAACAAGAGCAGTGGTCCATCTAGTCTGGTCTACAACACTGTCTCGTAACCTTCTGCTTCAGAGGCAGGTGAAACCTGCCCCTGCTTCTTAATGCTCTTGACAGTTGGATGGTAATAATATGTGTGTGTGTAGACCACCACAGGGAACCAAATTTAAGTTGTAAGCATGTGTGGCTTAAGCCCCTGCTATCTCATTACTGAAAGCTGCTTATCTGAGTTGCAGGCTGAAGATAAGAAAGGATATAAACCAAATGTTTCCTGCCTGACCCATGTGGAAAAGAGAGCTGGAGAAACCAGGGCTGGGTGTGCAAACTCCCAAGGAAGGCAGAGCCTGGGCCTGTTTATCTGAACAGCACAAAAACCAGCGTGTTCTGCTTTTTAGGTCATTGAGAAGAAATAACTCCCTGACTGGGCCTAACCCTTAGTACTGCAATGCCACAGTTAAGGCCTGTATCCTACCTCCTTCCTGTTGACAGAAGCTGGTATCCATGCCTGCTGCTATTATGCGCCATGAAGGTGTTCACAGCCTTGCAGCTCCTGCTTGGCATCTAAGCTGGTTGCTGTTCATCCTTTCCTTTTGCTAACTCTGCATTTGTTATCTATGTACCCATTTAGGATGAAGACCTCTATTACACTGAAAACGGTAGCCAGGGAAACACAGTGGTCACCGTGGCCTCCCAAGAGCAGTCCGAGCCTCAGGAGAAGCCAAATCACAACAGAGGGGCTCAGAAGAATGGGACTGGACAGGCATCCTCAAAAAATGGACATTCAGCCAGGCAGCACATTGTTGCTGACACTGAATTGTGAAACGTGTTAGGGTGACTGCCTTATTATCATGATTTGAAGCGGGGGTGGGGGGGGGGGTGGGGGAGAAGAGATAGGAGCGGGGGATAAGGGAGAGATTATCCCTTGGATGGCTGGGAAAATGTAACCCTTTTTTATCTGAAGAACTCCAAAGTCCCACTCTAAAGTACACTAAACCCCAGAGCTAATGTAGCACTGTGCTGTACGGTGTTGAACTACCCTAGCAAGGTGCTTCTAGGGGCTAATACAGGACTAAGGTTGTGGGCTAGGGTTCTTTGCTCTTCCTTTAGCAGAAGAGAATGGGATGTGATCAGCAGTCAAACCACCCAAGCAAAGGGTGGGGAAGATATTTGGAAATTCAGAGCTATGTCAGCTTTGTAAGAAATTGACTTGATACTGATTTTACTGGGAAGGGAAGGGAAGGGAAGGGAGCGGGGAGAGGGCTTAATCCTTCATGAGCCAATGGAGCATTTTACTGTCTCTTGTTAAAGACGCATGCTATTAACCTAGCTTCCAGACCTCCGAGTGGAGAATCAGGGGCTGTCTGCATAAGAGACACTTCCAAAAAGTGGGGAAATGGCCTCCCCTTACTATCCTCTGAACTACAAAAGTGAATGCCCCAAAACTGCAAGTCCCACCCATTTACCACCCCTCTGGTTCTGTGCTCTCATTGTTATATGTTAAAAAAAAAAAAAAAAGTGTCATATAGCAACTGAATTGCTTCTAATGAGATATGGGCTCAAGCCAGAAAAACTTGGATCCAGATTACAAACAACTCCAAATTCCAGCAGGGGCTTGGGCCCATTACAATATATGGATCTGGGTTCTGATTACCATCACCTCCAAAGTTGTAATGTCTTTTGCTGTGATGGTTTGGTTTAGTCTCATCTTTGTATTTAAGTGCAGCCTTTTCCTCTCTCAGCAACATGAATAAGTGAATGCCCCTTCTTGTGCTTTTTATAACCTCTCAGTGTTTAATGCTCTTGTGGAACTTGTATGTAAAGCTTTCCAGGTGGAGTTTGGTGCTGAGATGTGAATAGACTTGGAGTTGAATTACTATTCCCTCCTCCCACAGCATATGTGTAGTTGTTTTGCAGTGAACCCTCTGGTGTCTGGCTCCCATAGACTGGAGGCATTAGTTGAAGGTGAAGGGAGTGATCAATCCGTGTGTGGGTGTACAAGAGCATATGACACTGCTCTAGACAACCCACCCCACTCCAAGTGCTTGCAACAGTACTGTCAAGCCATGTGGAAGGAGCTGGCATTGTTACCCAACATGAGGCCTTGGAAATATGTAGATATCAAAGACTTCCTAAAAGAATCCAAAAAATTGTCATACAGGAAAGAAACCTCAGTCCTGCTTTTGATGTTTGGCCTTCCCTAGTAATAGGGGGTTGTACTAAAACAAACAAACAAAACATACGGGGGAAAGATTTTCACTTTCAAGAACAAAGAAAAGGCCTCTCAGCAACCATGAAGTTTTAAGGCCAGGAGCAATCTCCACCTTCTCATGAGCTTGAGATTGTTCTCTTGGAAAAAGTGGTTTAAGCCAAGCCCATTCTGCGTGGGTCAGGAGTCACATATCATTCAGTAAAGAGTGAAGTCTAACAGACCTACTTATGTCCGGATTCACTTTGTAGGATGGAGCCAGTCCCCGTGAATATTTGCTGCCTGTAGCCTTTGTGGCTCCTAGTCTCCTGACTGAGCAAGCCAAAGTTTGGCTAGCTGCACGTGGAGGCCTCTATAAGCATGTCACCTGGAGCCTCTATCAGTGGGACCAGTATTATTATAGCAGCTACAGCCCTGCCCTGGGCATAGCCTTGCGGGATGGGGGAGCACGTACGTGTAAAGGGAAAAGAAATTTAATTGAAGAAAGGGGACTGGCTGGCTCAGTGGCTTTCACCTCTATGTCACGGATTCCAATGAAGCCCAGGTTGGTGGTTGACCAGAGACATTGCTATATGATCCATGTATTGGTGGCCCATATACAATGAGTAGGGGACTCATAGTACAGTGAGTAGAGGACACACCATCACCATTGGCATTAACAGACTCCATTCTTGGCAGCTTCAGCACTGGGGCTGAAGACTAATAGGCCTGGAAAACTGACATACCCTCTCGCTACTAAATGTTATTGCTATTCCTTGTCAATACTGAGACACACAGGTGTCTTGGATGTGGCGAAGGGCTGCTTTGTGCCTGACTCATAGTATGCTTAGCAAGAAGGATTTAAATTTAAATTTCAAGTTCTGTCAATCAGGCCCTTTTCACCAGCACTGAAGTCATGTAAAAATACAAAAACTATTGATTTTAAATTTTGTTATCTTTTTTTACAAACAGATCTGTAAATACTGTCCGTAAAAAGAGCTGAGAATTTAACCCAGCTTTTCTGTTGTATTCTTGAAACAATGGACTGTTTATTCCATTGGCAACTGTGTCTGGCTCAGTTAACTGCCTGGACGAAGAAAGGAATGTACTGCCCTCTGAGAAGTTGCTTTCCCGTAGAAATAGCATAAGTAAAAGATGTTTCTTATTCTTTGCTTGCTTGCACACTCTCTCTCTTTCAGCAAATGGGTTCAGAGCAAGTTAAAAACATGGATCAGATGTTCAAAAAATCCTTTCCCTGAATTAAACTCTCACACCCTCTTAATGGTTGATTATCTGCTGTCCACAATGCACATACTATTCCTTGATAAATGTCTTAGGCCTGGATGCTGCAAGCTGATCCACCGGGGCACCCCTTTGACTTGCAGGGCTGAGGCTTTAGATCGGAGTCAGATTTAACTGCACCTCTCTGTGTTTTGCTAAGGATTAATTTCAAGCTGCATAAAGGTGGCCTTTTCCATTAATATTATTTGAAATATGGCACTGCCCAGGGGCTCCAGCTGAGATTACGGCCCCATCACACTGGGCACTATACAATAATTGGAAACAATACTGGCCTCAGAGAGTTTACATTCTAAATAGGCAAGACAGATAAAGGGTTGGAAGGGAAACTGAGGTACAGAGCAATGCAATCAATGATTTGTCCAAGAGTCACCCAGCAGGTCAGTGATAGAGCCAGGATAAAATCCATGGCTCCTGATTCCTTGGTCCCCAAGACCAAGCTGTCCTGATCTGCATGTGAAACATGTGTAGATCATCATGTTTCATTATCCAAATGTACACTTTATCCCAGAGAGCAGGGGTCTCCTATGTGCATTTTTCAGTTACAAAGAATATGGATGTATTTGTGCTGAGAAATCATCATGTCTGTGAGAGAAATGCAAAGCTAGAGAAAATCTTTTGTAACACCAGGCCTAAGTTCACACATGGGTGAGTCAGCAATCTTTGCTGCTTATCCTGCTTGGGGAATAAAGAACATAGCTTCCAGCCAATCCTGTAACCCTTAAGTATCTGCTGACCTGTATAAAATTATGCATGTCCCATTGTCTTCAGCTGCATTAAGTAATTCCCATGTTTCAGTTTTGAAGGATTGGGGCCCTAAATGGGTAAGGAGACATTAGTTTTTTAAAGCTTTCCCGTGCAGAAAAACCAGCTCGTGGGCTCATGGAAAACCTATTTGATGAGCTGCAATGGTGCTTTTTGAGGTATTTGGGTACAGAGGCCTGCCCCAGCACTGGCGGACAAGGAGTTAATCTCTGCTAGGCTGTGCTGCTGACCAGAAACAGGTGGAATTGGTTGTGATAATGAGGTGAAGCTGCTGTCTGAGGAACTCAGTGCAGGGCTCCTAGCCTGAATGAGCCTTTTGGTTTAAAACATTCTTCAACTCTGTTTATTTCTGGACCGCTTCACCCAAAGGATCCTGATAACAAAATGTACGGTGCGCAGGCTCTCCTGGTAGAGGGCTCTAGCAGCTCACACAGGGTGTAGGCTGCAAAGTGTTCGTTTCTCCCCCTCTGCTCTTTGCACAGCAATAAGCCCAGCCCAACAGCTTCTAAAACTCTCCATGTTGTGTCTGTACCAGAAGCGTTGCTAGGACTGGTTCCACTTTACCCAGCTTTGACCAGCAGTGAAGATGGCTCCTCTGTGCCCATGTATGGCTGGAGCAAGACAGTAACTCTGAGAAAAGAAGAACTGCTGGTGAGTCCCAACCCAGTGACTTGCCCCACAGCTGAAATTCTCTCTCACTCTCTCTCTGCTGCATGTGGGGCATTGTACAGAGGAAGGACAGGAGTGACAGAGTGTCTGCTCACAAAAGGCTGAATTTCAAAGGAAAGGTAAGAACAGGCTGTACCCCAGCCCACAGTGTTATGCCAGTGGGGCTACCATGGCTGTTGCTGAACTAACAGGGTAGGAACAAATCACAGGTGCTCTTGCCCAATATCACCACACAGCATAAGCATGCCTAGAGTGTGAGCTTCACTTTTGGAATCTCCCCAAAGGGTGTGGAGCAAATAGTACTGTGTATCCCTGCATAGATAAGACATTGTGGCAACTCTCTCTGCCAGGCCCTAGAAGCTTTTCCTTCGTAGAGCCTAGTTCTTTGGTTTCATGGAGGATGGGTGGTTAGAGCAAAGGAACGGGCAGTCCGGACTCTGGGGTTTTATTTGTGGTTGTGCCTCTAACTTGTTGTACACGGTAGGCTTTGGTTAACCTTTCCCTTCCTGTGTGCTCATCTCTGATGTGGATGCTATAATATCCGGAGCAGAGGGGTGCCTGGAGAGTCTGGCATATGCTTTGACTGAAAGGTGCTACAGAAATGTGTAGCATATTACTATCTAAACCATCTGCATGGACTCGTGAAAGCTCGAGATTCGAAAGGCCTATAGGGCCACCCAATCCATCTTCCTGCCAGTGAGGTGTTGCTCCCTACTGCACATTTCACAGTGCCCTGTCTAGTTTTAAAATGGGCAACCTTTCATATTTTGTAGTGTCAAATTCACCCCTGGTTGTTGCCAAGTAGTCTCTTGTCTAACAAATCTGATTTTGATCCTGGTTGCCGGACAGTGCTAATGTTGCTAATTTCTGTTAATTAGATATGTTAAGTAACTTTATTTCCCCCTCCTTTCCCCATCCCCATCAACCAGTTTCTTTTTTG